GAACATTTATCGCCGAATCATAATCTATCCCAGGCATTGAACGCCGGCTTGCCTGCGAGGTTGAGCTGAATTCAACTTCGTAGGCGAACCGGCGGTTGTCGGCGGTTGTCGGCGATAAAAATATTTTATGTGAACATCATCTGCGGACGCAACGCACTCCAGTAAGACGATTGGATCCATATTTACAGGTAAAATATTTGAAAATTGCGCAATTCGATTTGCATTTCGAGTAAACTTGAGTATGTCGGCGATCCATCGCAGATGAGCCGGAGACCCACTGGGACAGATCGCCGAACGTTGTCAGTTGCAACCGGCGACTACGTCGCAGGTAGGTCGGCGGGATATGAGAGCCAGGCTTAATGAGGGAAAAACACGTTCCATCTCAAGCGGTTAAAATTTGCTCAAGTCATCAGCAAAACAAAACAGTCCTCTTGAAAGTTCAATCTTCGTCGTCCAACTCAATGATGTAAACCTTTCGTTTCTTCTGTGGTTTTGACTTCTCATTGACGTCTTTGGAGCAGAAATTGAACGCGCAACCCGTGCAATTCGGCGATGGAACGGAGATGCCAGAAGAAGTGAAAGCAGCCATGCTGTACTGGAACTGCGAAGGAAAGCTTGGCCGTAGAAATCCCGAGCTGGCTGAAAACCAGGATTGAAGCCCATCATTGCCTGATGCACATGTAGTTGGCCTTGTTATTGGACGTGATGAATAGGAGCCAGTGGTGCTCGTTGGCGTTAACCTGCAAGCGCTTGATTTGAGGCTTCATTTGCACTGGTTTGGTTGGAGACTTCGTTTGGACTTTTTTCGTTTTGCACTTCTTTATATCCACTGATAATATGAGACAGTTCTTTTCTTTGGTTCTCGTTTCTTTCATCGTAGTCGTTTAAGGACGATTCACGTGCATGGCCTGTTATTTGGCACATGACATTGCGCGGTTGACCAGAATTCTTCAGTTTTGACACCAAATTTTGTTTTCCTCATGCTGTGGTTCGTCAACTTCTTATTTGTTTTGAGACAGAAGGCCATGGATTTCATGAAATTGCCGATGGTGTTTTGTCCTATTCGAATTTTGGTGTAGGGGCCCTGTGTCGCTTAGACAACCAAAGCTAGAAGGGCCGCACTGGATCAGTTTTTCCACCGTCGGTGCTATACATAACCTGAGGTGTAGTTCTTCGCCTGATTGACAGACCACCTTCGCGGAACTCAACGACTTCAGTGCCATCTTCTTGCTGTCTTATCACAAGGTCCTCCACATACACGTCGTAGTGTTCCTGGCGACCTCGTAAGCCAGGTTGTTCAGTCAAGTTTTAAAAGTTCACGTTGGTCAGTACTTTTCCATTGAAATCGCCCAACTGACCTTTTTCCCACRGGRCAGATTCCTCGTCTGGTGTTAGTGGCTGTGCTTTGTTTGGTCTCTTACCCTTTCCTTGCTGGCGCAGAGCAAGTGCCTTCGCGTTGAGGACTTGTTAGTTATGGAACTCTCTCGATCGCACGATACTCAGTGGATAGTTTTTGTCCTTTAGATGACGTTCAATTGCACTTTGCATGATTTTCAGTGATTCTGGCTCGTAATCATCTCCGTCCCCTTTTTTCACTTCGGCGTAGAACTTTGTCAGGACCATGTCTAGTTCTTCCGGCGGTATTGTTTCGATGCTGATATTTTCAAGATAGCGGGACTTTGCCCAGCTTTGGAACACGTTCATCCACTGTTTTGTAGAGCGGGACGTATTTTTATTCACTGCAACAGACTTCAGCTCTTGTATTTCATCGCTTGACACTATAGGAAACCTCGAGACGTCTACTTCATCAGTTACCTCTGGAGTTGTTGTTATGTTTTCTATTTTCCAGGACTCGGGATCACACGGAGCTTCTTCAGTTGATGTAAAGAAATATCGCCAAAATTATCGTCACAAACTATACTGAAAGTTGGAAACGACTCTCGGAAAAATTGATTTTCAGTCTGGAGGAGCTGGTCATCATCATTTGGATATTGTAAGTAATTAAATTCATCCATTCTTCAAACTTAGCGAAGTTTTGGGAATGGCAACAAAAGTTGCCAAATTTGCCAAACAATGGCTTCTTTGTCTTTCATTTTCCTGCAATGTGATTGGTTAATTCAAAAAAGCCTTCAAATCTGATTGGTTGGTTTGTTTTACTGTCCCATTCTTATTGGCTGAGAAAAAGATGCGATTCCGAGCAAAAAATAGTGCGATTCGTGAATAAATCGTACCGCTGAGAGCCAATCACATTGTAAGGATAACCAGTGATTTCAAAATGGATTTAATAACTATTTCTATGGTCTCCGTTGTTGATATAATTGCGATGTTGTGTGTATAAGTGTTATGATCAAACATGTCTTCATATCTTTATCCGAAGTTGAAAATACGTAAACTTTCATATATTCGCTTGTATTCTTCACCATATTCGGGTAAATTATTATATTACGAACTCACAACATGACCAGCTCCCAGTTGGCTTGATAGCTCAGTTGGTACAGCACTGCACTGGTATCGTAGAGGTCACGGGTTTGCCTCCTATTCAAGCCTGAATCTTTTTTTCAGGCTTTAATTTCGAAACTGCTTAAGTTGTTTGTATAACTGCAATGATCAATATGTCTTCACGGGGGATAATTTATGTTAACAACGGCTATATCACTTGTAAACTCTGCTTTTGGCCATAACGACTCTTACTTGAAAGTCCTTGCAATTTTTATCCGTCACTACATCACTACTGCCTGTGCAATCCAATGTATCGTCAATTGGAATGGAGAGCTCGTACGTTCCAAACAAACTCTTGCACGCTTCTGCTCCAAGCTGGAGTTCTCCCTCGCACTTAAAATCGCTGAGGTAGTGACAGCACATCGATTTTAAGCGATGGTCGTTTTTGTCCATACAGTAAATAGGATTCCCTGGAAATAGAACCGGTCCCTAAGTTGAGTATTACTGTGACATATTGAGGGAAGAATGGTCTTTACATAGCACCTTTTTAAAATACTTACTCTCGCCTTGTTTCTTCCTCTCATTGCATTTCTCTGTGTCCGTTATTTCGAAACGGTTGAAATGAAACGTTCGCTCTGACACCAATTTCTGTCTGAACTCCTTGGTTTTCCCATATCCGTCTCTAAAGTACGAAGCGCTCAGATGTCGTAATCTCAAGTATACCTTGGCTGGAATATTTTCATATTGGGATGGATCGCCATCGCTGTACAGTTCCACGTACATCTATAACATATACATTGTAATGCTGGTGTTGTTAGTCTTTTTTATATATTTCTTGCGGAGAAGCTTTGATGATATAAGCCATTCCCGAGTTACGTTGTGCCTCCTGTCAAAACTAGTCTTCGTGCTAAAGCATTCATATGAAAATGTGTTACACCTGCAGGTTCATTTTCATGCAAATCAAACTCGTTTTCATTTGAAAGGTTCTGCGCGAAGACTCGTTTTGAAACAGAGGCACAAGATAACTCGGAATTACAAAGTGATACATCATTAAGGCCTGATATACTGTGTTTATACAAAGTATGACAAGTAACAAAACTAGCACGTTGATACACGTTCATACAAAAAGCATGAAAAATTTCATGTGGTGGTTCAGTAACGATCGTGAAACTACGATGGATCTCGTCTTTTCACACCATTGTTTTGCGGAGGAGGGCTACGAAATATGTTAAAATCGTGAAGCCTTCTTTTTGCCGATGTCGGTGAATATTTTCAAATTCATTACAGAGTTGAAACATCAGCAAAGTTACTCTTTTGCATTGAAGTAGGGAACAATTGCCATAACACGAAAGAACTTTCAGGATCTGCTAAAGAATTTCTATAGGACCACCGGAGATAGAACACCAGGTCTAATGATTGTGTACAGTAGAAGCCTGACGTCGAGGCTGTTAGGTATTTTCGGATGAGTCTGTTGTGTACAATGTTTTGGTCAAGCCAATGTCTGACACATAACCTTAACTTCGTCAAAATAAGGGCGCGCGATCACGAGAGTTAAGAAAGACGGCAGCGAAAAATTTATCTCACTTTGTGTATAGAGATACTGGAAAAAAAGAATTTTGATTTACACTATAGCCACGCGACCGCATTAACTTTGGTACCTTCAAAAGACGCATATTATACATAGAACCGCTTTCTGGCATTTTTAAAGTGAATCTTGTCTGACCGTTGTAAAGCTCATCAAACAGCTGAAATGGAAGAAAGAAAAATAAAATGAGCCTTTTGTAGCAATCGGTCACGTGGTACAAAATCCACGATACTGGAAAAATAGCAGGGTACTGGGACATCCAAAAGAAAGCGCCTTCGACCAGTTAAACTTGATTTTTGTTTTCCCTGGACGTCCCACACTCTCGTCTTTAGTGCTACTTGCCACTCTTGGCGTGCGAAGCCTTCCCACGAGAAAAATGTGGCTCTGGAGATAGACCTCGAGAGATTTTAACTAATGTGAATTCAATAAGTTAACGCAATCTCTTAACGGGAAGTAATACTCAATTAACACTTCTCTCCCTAAGCCAATTTTTAAACTTCTTGAAGGTAATTTGACAGGTGAAACTTCCTCGCCTCTTGCACTAAGTGACAGTTTTCTTTAAGCAAATCTAGTTTTTCACACATAACGATGAAAATTTGACTCCTAGAGCCCTACAATAGAACCATATAGATTGCAAAATCGATGGAATGTAACGTAGCTTCCTACCGTCCCGTCCTTGGAACTATCGAAAGACCATTTATGAATATCAGTTTCAACTCGGTAGCTAGTGTAGCAATTCTGCGCGGAAGATTCCAATTCATCGATTTTGGCTATGGCTTTCTGCAGTTCAGTAACTCCTTGAAGCTTCCCAGCTGTGTCTGTCGCGCTGCTCGCAAGTCTCTGGTATTCAGCAATTTTTTCTTCTACATCCCACAGCGACTGGAACTCGAAACTTTTGTAGTAACTGTACAGTTTCTTAGCAAAGCGTGTCTCCATTTGCCGGTAGGTCTGCAGGAGGTCGTCGAGAAAATTCTGCTGTATGTTTTCAGCAATTGGNTCCGCTGCAAGTCCTTCTTTGTTCATTTCCAAGTCCGCCTATCATGGTTAATTGATGGATAAAAATGAATGTTAAAACCGAAACTATATTTATGTCCTACAAAAGTTCATAACTAACAAACGGCTTTTCAGAAGTTCTTTACTGACGTCATTTTTACTCGTAGTTGACACAGAAACATTTAACGCAATGTTTACACTATTTAAAACTTTTCTTTAGTCATTTACATCTTGCAGGTTTCAACTTACCTTCATTATTTCTGGAACAGATGCTACGTCCATTTTCTCAAAATCCAGATCATTAGGGTTGTCGAGAGGGGAGTATTCTTTGCCAAATTTCAGCCATTTGTTGACTTTATCTTTGACTTCTGTTAAGGTGCCGGTATAACACTTTGATGCAAAATGACCAGCCACATCTAAAGCATTGTCTATGACTTCAAATGGATCTTTTCCTGCAATACCCTTAACGAATCCAGTCAACCCTTTAAGCACTGCGATTAGGTCGGCCGTGTTAAACTGTGCTTTTTCGTATGTATCAGGCAGCACTCTGGTTATTTGAGACAGAAAGTTTTTCATGCGTCCTTCTAAATTGGTGACACTCTGTAAGATAAAGTTACACAAAGTAAAGTTTTTTAAATGTTGTTACTGGAAACTTTCTCTAAAATTCAGGTTCACCAGGTTTATTATACGAATGCCGAGAAAATTACTTCATTGTGATTGGCTGAGAGCAGGCCAATTGATCTTTATTGTTCGAAATTTCCTCATTCTTATTCTTTCGTAATCGGATGAAAGCTCGAGCAATTAGAATACTAATCATGATATTTGAAAACTCTAAAGGCCTGTCCTATGGCTCGTGTTCCCACAGCAGTTCTTTTTTTCCCCCAAACTTCTAGTCGTGTTTCTATAACTCGATAAAACACCGAATGTGTTTTCTAATTCTTAAATAAGAGCAGGAAACTTACTGATTTATAAAGCTCCTTCTCTTTAATGGAAACCTCTTTGGCCGCTTCGAGTCTTGCTTTCTGCGCACGTACTTGAACAGTGGCTGTGTCTGGCAGTGCCTTAAATACCTCTCTTAAATTATCTTGCTCATTCATTGTATCTTTAATATCATTGTAAGCCCCTTGGAAGTACATGGCGACATCTCTAACAGATTCCACCTCCTTCTTAAAGGCTGAACTTTTCTTTAGGGGTGCAAACAGTTTAATGTTTCCAAATCTGTCAATTCCATCTTTGTTTAGAAAGCCGAGTCTTCTTTGTGCAACTGGAATGAAAAAAGGAAAAATGAAGCTTTTCTTTGTGAAATGTATTATTCTTTATGTACCCCTATATGTGTATGTGCATTGATACTGTTAAATGTACGTTTGCAAAAACATTTTCAGATTACAATAGACCAGTTTTAAAACTAACCTTCTCTAATAGAGGAGGCATCGTCTCTTTCCTCCGTGACGTGGTAAATGAACTTCAAAATTTTTTCTCCCATCTCGATATCGTTAGCCCATATAAGATCTTCGGCACGCCTCTTCATTAACTTCAGTAAAACCAGTGGATATTTTTGTTTTGCGCTGGTAGTTAGTTCGAATTTCTGAATGTTGGCGCTTGTCACTTCACCGTCTGAGCCAGGAGTGTCTGGGGCTGTAATGTCAACATAATTTATATAGACTGAGATTCATAAGTAACGTAGAGGTTCCAAAAAAAAAAAAAAAATTCAAATGTTGTTGTTTATGGTGGATAATGGGCTTAGCTACACCTAGCTAGCATGCCACTTTAACTAAAAGAAAGAAATCTTTCAAATAAACATAACAGGCTCACAGACCAGTTAGCTATATACAAGCATGACCGAAGAGCGAAACTAGGGTCTACCGAGAAACAACTCCAACTTAGTGGTCAGAGTGGAACTTCAACCCGCAACCGCCAGATTTCAAGTCCCGCACCTTAACCACTCAACCACGCTGCCTGCCGATAAAAAAGGGTGCTGTGGTTTGTGGTATTTGTCAGGTATTTGCATTTAAAGGACCACTGTAAGGGCGATTGCACTGCCTTTTTGGTCAACACAGTGCTAACTCAGTACCTTCAAAAATACACGAAGTGTGCCTGCTGAAGTTTGGAATAATCTAGACGAAAGCATTTTTAAAACACCTCAGTTGGTTAAAACTGTTTATAAAATATTTCTGTATTAGTGAATTTTTAATCTCGCGTGGTAATTTCTATCAGTTAGTTGTCACAACAGAATTGTGAAACGTTTGAAATTCCAACTTTTAATTAGCGTTTCCATTGTACTTTTTAAACGTATTTTGTACTGTGTGGGTGTCGGCAAGGCTGTGTTTGATCTTAGTAAGTTTTGGCGATCAAGCACCCAATATTGCAGCGAAGGGCAGAAATTAGTTGCCTGGTTCCTTTATACAAATATAATTTGCAAAATTGGCCAGTTTCATTCTTATATTTTTAAGTGTTTTATATTTACAGTACAACGAGAAGTTGAGTTTGTTGCTATTTCTGTTATTGTAGAAGGCTGCAGACCAGCTCTCAAGGTCATATTGGTACAATTTTTCCAGTACAATACTCAACTTTTCCCGTCAGTTCCAGTTGTCCCGGGTTCCCCATTGGCTGCTGCAGGTGTGAATCTGTTTTTTATACAGTTATAGTTGTAGATCGGTGGGAGGCACATCATAGGGTTGATACATGGCTTAAGTACTTTACATTCGATTCCCGTTCCGCCTTGGCTTCCACGACCACCTGAAAAGCACTCCAGACAAAAACTGACTTTAGCAGATAGAATAGACCTTCTATTGCACCCAGTGCTGTAATGATACATTTATACATAAATGTGTTAATCAAAAAAATAACGATAGAAGATAAAATATTTAACGCTTTGGAAACAAAATATCTTATTTTACTCTTTACGTATACAATAGCCAGTGAAGGACCCCAGATATTTTATCTTTGCCTACTGTGCAAGTATTCGGTCGCAATTTGATTAGTCAAGCTACTGTCAGCTTTTAGAACCATGATACGCAAAAAGAATATGTCAGCTGTGTTAGAGGCTTAGCTGTATACGAAATATATTGTAAATAATTTAGTATCGTAGATAGTTTTAAGAAAAATGCTGTAAGTTATGAATGTTCAATTTTTTAATTTTTAATTTTAAAATAATTGTTAATAGTATGGTTTTGTACCGAACTGCAAGGTGGCTCCGTAAATATCCACAAGCTTTATCTTACGGAAACATAGGTGAAAAATTGTTTTAGTATATACCAAACCAGTGAAATATCCCGTCGTACACTTACAGTCTTATTTGAAAACGAAAGAGAAAAATCCTTTTGAAATTTATAGAAGCACTTAGAGCGCGCCACAGAGAAAAGCGCATGAGAAATCACAAGCTATNTATGTGTTCAATGCGCCTTAGGTGGGAATGAAAGAAATTACAACCGGCTACGAGGATGAAAGCCAAATCTTGATAGCCATTGTTCTGCTCGTTAAAATTTTTGTTTGGTGACGTTCTCGTTGCCGTTGCCGTCGGGTTTGCGTAATTAAAGTCCCTATTAGGTCTGAGCGAATTATTGTACACCGAACAAGTGAATGGTACTTTTTGTGTGCTCTGATTGGCTAGTCAAGCAAGTCAATGGTCCTGTTCATAGTGAAATTCAAGATGGCGGATCGAAGATGGCGGGATGACATTTCAGGTCATCTCATGTCATAACCAACAAAAATACCTCGTCTTATAGAGAAAGCAGAGGGCTATCTACACGGTGCAAAATTATTAAAACCAAAAAACCCCGATCCATCAACCCGCTTTTGCCACAGTTAGCGTACGTATTTGCTTGTATGTCCGTTGGTAAATTGAGGATTTTACTGATATTGATTGCCTTAAGAGGATCTCATCCAATTCTACAGTGAAATCCACCTATTAATCCGGCTCAGAGCAATATAATGAACTGCTTCTCTTATAAAATTAATAAAATTGACATACCTGGTATCCTCGGTCGTCCCCCTTTTTACCTTCGCGACCATTTTGTCCGTTGTTTCCATTTCCACCGTTAGTCACAATGTTCAAGTAACCTCTTAGTTTGTCGGCAAATATCTCAACTTCGGAAGAGAAAGAAAACGAAGAAACATCGTTTTATTTCTTATTTAACAACTAATCCATTACATGCCTCAGTCGTGATACATAGGGGAAGATTGGAGAGCACGATAGAAGCGTAAGAGTTGCTCGAGGCGCAGCTTCTTGAGTGTTTTCCAAACTTCCCAGGTACATAATTACCGATGATGCACAGCTCGATGCATAGACGACTGTTTAAAAATAAAAAACCTCTCTTAAAAACTCTGCGATCGGTAAACACTTTTCGACAGCCCATGGGGATACAAGCCTCCTTAAAGAAAGCCAATTCCGCATTCTAAAAAAGTGCCAAGGAAAATTTGATTGTCTTGTCTACGAGATGCTTTTCATCAAGGAGCGCAATCCTAGTCTCAAC